AAAGAAAGAAAAGATAATTGATTAAATTGAGCCCCATGGGCTGAGGGACAAAGCTGTGTGGGGCATGGGGGTAGGGACTAGGGGGCTGGGGGTGAACCTTTGAGGGTCATACAGGGTAGTGATGAGGAAGTGGGTTGCTTTCTGGGAGGGCTGAGGGTAAGAAGAGTGTGTGTGTATGTGTGAGCACACACACGTGCATGTGACTCCGAGCATGGATCTGAGGTCTGAGGCTGCAAATGTCATCCTAGGCTACTGGCCTGGCTAAGTGGGTTTTAGCATTTCTTGTTCATTTGTTTGTGTTGATTTGAGTCAGGGTCTTGCTCTGTTGCCCAGGCTGGAGTGTTGTGGCATAATTTTGACTCACTGTAACCTCTGCCTCCTGGGCTGATGCGATTTTCCTGCCTTAGCCTCTCAAATAGCTGGGACTACAGGCACGCACGACCATGCCCACCTAATTTTTGTATTTTTAGTAGAGAGGTTTTTGCCATGTTGGCCAGGCTGGTCTCAAACTCCTGACCTCAAGTGATCTACCCGCCTGTGCCTCCCAAAATGCTGAGGTTACAGGCATGAGCCACCGGGCCTGGTCTGAATGTTAGGTTTGTGAGTGTTTTCGATCAGAGGGTCTCGGGGAAGCTTGGTGCATGCGCTTGCGTGTATGCGTCCGTGGCTGTGGGTCCATGGGTCTCTCAGGATGTGCCTGGCCTCAGTTTCCAGGGTTTCTGGGGGGCTGTGTTTTGTTCCGACTCCAGACACCTCACTGGGTGTATATTGGGGGATAGGGATGGGGTGCAGGGGCGTTCAAGAGGCTGGGTGTGTGCCTGCCACTCCGGGTTCGGCCAGTGTCTCACTGCATGTTTGGCCTGGGTTTCCGAGGGTCCTCACGTCCCGGGCAGTGCGGGTAGAGGGTGGGCAGGGACCCCGGGAGGCCGGGTGGGGGGCGGGGGCGCGCAGGGCCGGCCCCGGGGCGTGGCGAGCCTCCGAGGGCTGGGGGCGGGGCGGCCCGTCCGCCTCACTTTGGCGAAGTTGGCGGCGCAGAGGCTGGCCCGGGACGCGCCCGGAGCCCAGGGAAGGAGGGAGGAGGGGAGGGTCGCGGCCGGCCGCCATGGGGCCGGGGGCCCGGGGCCGCCGCCGCCGCCGTCGCCCGATGTCGCCGCCACTGCCACCGCTACCCGTGCGGGCGCTGCCCCTGCTGCTGCTGCTAGCGGGGCCGGGGGCTGCAGGTGAGGGGCCAGGACCTGGCGGACGGGACCAGGGCGGCAGAGCGGGAGTGCAAGAACCCCCAAGGCCGGGGCTGGGGGGTCACGGGAGGCAGGAACCAGGGTCGGGGAAGGGGCGCAGGAGCCCGAGGCCGCGTGCCAGTATTGGAGGTCCCGGAGACTCAGAATGGGAAGGACCCCAGAGGCCCGACGAACCGGGACCCTAGAGCGCTCAGAGCTGATGAAGGGACTCAGGAGCCCGAGACTGGGAGCTTGAGGTGCGGGGATCAGAGACGCGAGGTGGGGGGTGTACAGAGTCCGGGACTCGTTTCCCTCCAACTCACGCCTGGAGCCCTGGGAAGGTTATGATTGGGGGTCCAGGTACTCCCCGGCCGGGGACCTCTCTCACAAAAGCTCCCCCCCGCCCCCGACACCCCGGGGGGGCCAGGCCAGGCAGGGGGTGGGGAGGGGGCGCGAAGTTCTCGGAGCTCTGAACTCGGAGAAAACTTCCCAGGCCGGCGCTCAGCAAGACCCGGATTCGGAGTCGGAGCCGGAGCCTCGGCGGCGCGCGCGCCCCCTCCCCCACCCGCAGCCCCTCTCCCTCCTCCGGTTGCGGGGACCCGGAGGCCCTGGGACCCCGCCCCTGAGCGGGGAGAGGAAGGGGCGAGGACCCACGTGCTCCCCTCCAGCTCCAGTGCCCCGTCCCCGCGGCCCAAGCCCCTCCCCAGCGGGCCAGGGGCCCCCCGCCCCTCCTCCTTTTCTCCCTCCCCTCCCCCGCTTGGGACAATGGCCGCGCCGTCTAGACACCCCCTCCCCCCGGCCGGCCTCGCGCTTTCTTTGCCAGACAAAGCGGGACCCGCGGCGGGGCCGGGGAGGGGGCTGCGAGGGCACCCCCCTCCCACCGCTACGGGAGGCCTGGTGGGCGGGGGAGGGGCGCAGGCCCAGGGCCCAGGCCAGGGGTCCCAGATGCCAGTAGTGCCTGGCGCTGGGCGAGGTGGGGGTTTCGGGATTGAACGGCCTCCGCAGCCCAGCCCCGGGGCCCGGACGGGGCAGGATCGGGCAGGAGCCGCCGCCTCCGCCGGACCAGCGGGGCACACACATGGCCTGTGACACACTTGCTGGCACACACAGCTCTAGGTCAGGTAACAGAGATGCAAGCGTACACACACACAGCACAGACAGACATGCACACCTGGCTCAGGAAAGACAACCAGCGGCAAGCACACAGCTCACACGTTGACATACATGCACACAAATATAATCACACGTACTGCGTGTTGCTAGTGCAAGCTGTGGCACGCACGCTGCCTGCACACACTCAGACAACACATAGATGAAGATTCAAGGACATGCTTAGATTCAGCTCACACATGCAGAGGAACAGACACAGCCAACCCATACACAGACACCAATGCACACACAGTTCACACCAACACACAGCTGTACACCCAGATACATGGTTCGCATGCACAGACGCACAGCACAGTCTACATATAGACGGCACACACATCTGTGCACTCCCATATGGGTGTGCAGTTCATACACACACGGGCACACCCACGCAAACATGCATGCACAGATAGACTCACTTGTAGCCACACAGGGACACAATAGATGCATGCTCATATCCACATGCAGACTGACACACAAGCCCATGCACACACACACATGTGCCTCACATTGCCTACAGCTCAGCATGGCCCGTAGCCCATGTTATGGGACCCACAGTGTGAGTTCACAAAAACCTACAGGTCCTGGTGTGGGTGATAGTGTCCAATCAGCTTGTCCTGTGAGGAAGGGGACATACATCATGTATACCCACGCTCAGGTTTAGTTTGACTCATTCTGTCACTCACCCTCTTGCTTTCTGTTTCTCTCTCTCTCTTTTGAGAGGTGGTCTCGCTCTGTTACCAGGCTGATGTGCAGTGGTGCGATCTCAGCTCACTGCAAACTCTGCCTTCTGGGTTCAAGCGATTCTCCTGCCTCAGCCTCCTGAGTAGCTGGGATTACAGGCACATGCCACCACACCCAGCTAATTTTTGTATTTTATTTTATTATTATTATTTTTTTTGAAACAGAATTTCCCTCTTGTTGCCCAGGCTGAAATGCAATGGCGCCATCCGGCTCACTGCAACCTCTGCCTCCTGGGTTCAAGCGATTCTCCTGCCTCAGCTTCCCGAGTAGCTGGGATTACAGGTGCCCGACACCACGCACAGCTAATTTTTGTATTTTAGTAGATAGTGGGTTTTGCCATGTTGACTAGGCTCGTCTCGAACTCCTGACCTCAGGTGATCCGCCTGCCTCAGCCTCCCAAAGTGCTGGGATTACAGGCATGAGCCACGGTGCCACGTCGCTTTCTGTTTCTTTCTGTCCTTCGCTGTCTTCTCCTGGTCCATTTGCTTCTAGTTCATTCTTTTGTGTCTTTCCATTTTTCTCCATCTTCCTTCCTGTCTCCATCATCCTCTCTCCGAATGCACACATGCCATGGCCCCACACCTGCACACAATTCTCCACTAGCTCAGACCCAGCCACACCCTGGACCCGTCTCGTAGGACAGTTAGACTGTGCCACACCCTAGAGAGACACAGCCTGGGGGATGGCGACATTGGACAGGGCAGCACATGTTTTGTGCCAGTTGCCCCTCCCTCCAACACACACCCTATTCCTGCAACACCCAGCGCTGGCTACCCCTGGAGATGCAAGGCATGTACTAGTGGGTACATGCCTTGGCCCTTCTCCCCAGAGCACCACACAGGCCTGCCCAGCTGGAGTAGATGCCCATCAGAAAAAGGGAAGACCTATGGCCCTAGGGCCCCCTGCCCCTTCTCCTTCTATTACCCCTGAACCTGGGCATGAAGCCCCAGACCTCCCTGTAACACTCAGCGCCCTTACTTCCTGTCTTGGCACACCCCCTTCTGCACATCTTAGCTCTGGCAGCTTCCCGAGCCCCCACATCTGGCACAAGACAGCCCCTCCTCCTGCCCGCCCCTGCTTTGTGGTTCCCAAGGCTCGAGCTGGCAGGGACAGCTGCAGCCTCAACAGCTGGGGCTGGGGCCGGGGGGCCGTGGGAACTGTGAATGGGGGGACTCCCTGCACCCGCAGAGATGCCCCCAGCCCCAGGCAGCTGTTGCCTGGCCGAGGGAGGGAGGGGGTTTGTCACTCAGGACTGGGGTTCCTGGGCACCTGGCTGACCCCCAACCTTCCTTCGCCCCCCACACAGGCCCCCCTTGCCTGGACGGAAGCCCGTGTGCAAATGGAGGTCGTTGCACCCAGCTGCCCTCCCGGGAGGCTGCCTGCCTGTGAGTGCCTGGCTCAGAGCCACCAGTGGGCCCTGTGGGGGGCAGGGACGGTTTGTCTTCTCCCTCTGCCTCTGTGTTCCCCATGGATGCCTCTACCACTTCCTACATGTGTGTGGCTTGGGCAACCGCTCTTGTTTCCCCATTGGAAACTGAGCAGGGGCTCTGCAGTCTTCCCAGCCTGGGTTCAAGTCCCACATCATGTTGCTGATCGACTAGGAATTAAACTCTTTGCGTCTCAATGTCGTGGTCTGCAAAATGGGACCAGTAATCCCAGCTTCACAGTTCTTGGCCACCTGGGGTCACATGTAAAGCCCCTCCATGAGGCAGGTATTATTCAATCAACAAACTATCAGGGACCAATGGCAGCGGCTCACACTCTCCACACCCCTCCCATTTCTCAACGTTTAGTTGAGTCCGCCTCTGCCACTTACTTGCGGTGTGATCTTGGGTGGGTCACTTTCCCTTTCTGATCATCATTGCACCTGTGAAATAGGTAGGGAATGCTTCACCCTGGCGACTATGAAGGGGCTTAACAGTTTAGTTGTTAGATAACCCAAGGAAAGGCAGAGGGTTTCAGGGAGCAGAGCAGAGGCTGGGAAAGAGCTGAGCAGAGACAGAAAGAGCTCAGTTTGAATTCTGGGCCCTTGGACACCTTGAACATTCAAGCTTTCTGAGCCTCAGTGTTTGCATCCAGAAAATGGGGCAATAATAACTTCCTGTATGCACTCAGCATACATTAAGTGCTCAGAATACAGTACCTGCTCAATACGTAGGCGTTATTAGAAATAATAATGGTAGAGACAGGAAACAGGTGCCACAAGGAGAAGTCTCTCAAGGTTGTGAGGAAATGCATGGTTCTTTTCACGCTATCATTAATAACAGAAGTTCACGCAGTAGCCATTAATTGACTCATTAATGTATTCATTTATTCATCATCGTGTGTGCCAAGTACTGGGTCAGGTCCAAGCTGGGTGGGTCTGGGGTGATTTTAGACCCAGGGGAACCGCTTTGAAACTACACCTACATTTATTTTGGCTGGAGCGCCCACTTGGGCTCACCTGTGTGGAGGGCTGAGCCTGACTGAGGGGGTTTCCTGGGGCTGAGGGGGTCTGCGATGGTGGGGCGGGGTGGGGAAAAGTGTGACCTTACCTGGAGCCACACACCTGGGAGGGCGAGCGAAGGAGCCGGGCGCCTGCGCAGTGGAGCTTCGCATCTGGAATACTGCCGACAGGTGAATGCGCCCGCGGCTGCCCCGCCCTTCGACAGGTGAATCACTGGCGCGCGCGGCTCCCGGAGCCTGGATCTCCTGGAGTGGAGCGGGCTCAGTCCCCCCAAGCTGGGCTGTGGGAACCACTTCTTGCGCCCCTCCCCGGTCTATTTCTTGGTCTCAAATCCTCAAGTCCTTTCAAGGGTGCCCCAAGCTGTCACCCCACCCATGGATCCCCCAAGACTCTCCCCGACCAGCCGCAGTAGGTTCCAGACCTCGTCCCTATCTCTTCTAGTCCTCGCCTCACCCGCCGTGCCCCCCCCACTAAGTCTGCCCTCCCCCCTCCGTCTCCCCCAAAGCTCAGGCTGTGGGGCGGGGCGCGGGCTGGGGCTGGAACCGGCC